TTATTGGGTTGGTAACTAAGTCATTGCTGATTTTTAAAAGCTACCTATTGACAAAATTCGCAATTATTTACTTGCCAACCCAATATTTCAAAATATCTATAATATTATTTTTATTATTATTATTATTATTATTATTATTATTATTATTATATAATATAATTATTATATTATTATTATATATATAAAACATTTATTGAAATAAAAAACAAAATACTATTTAATCTTATTTTAGATATATAATTTATTAAATATATTTTCAAAACATAATTATCAATGTCGTTGATTTAAATATTCAATATTAATATTTTTTAATAAATAATGCTGTAGAAATACAATTTAAACAATTCAAAACATTTTTTAACTACATAATATAAAAAATTACAAACATAACATACAAAAAAATTTACTACTGGGTGTGTGAACGGGATTTGAAGAAATTATGATGTTCCGATGGTATATATCGTAATAGTTCAATTATATCCTTGAATTTTGCTGTTATAGTTTGTCTGATATTTTTATATAGTGATATATATATATATATGCGAAAAAACTTATTCCCTAGCCCATAAGATACATTTATTAAAATGAAACAAAATAAGTGAAATATGAAAAAAAAGTATCCTTTAAGAGTGTAACACGTAAATAAAGATGGTACAAAATGTACTTGTATATTGTCTCATACCGTTATCTTTAAGTCACGGAAGATTCAATATGGCCGCTTATCCGTTATGTGCAATACGCCTAAGCGATGAACATCTTCTTCTTCTTCGTAAATACATGCGAACGAACGTGTGTCAGCCATTCGATCGAGTATCCATCTATCTTTCTCTTTCTCTATTTCACACATGCTTCGTATCTTCTGTTTATCTTGAATTCTTGAAAAAAAAGGAACCGGTAGAAGGATCGTAATAGATGGTGAGAAATATTTTTTCGTATATTCAGCAGTTATCTCACAAAGGAGTGGCCCGATCAAACTTTTGATTGTAAATATTAAATATTTTATACAGTTTTTAAGTTTTCACTTTTTTTTCCTTAAACTTCAAAACTTTGATGTTGATAATAATTTATGTATTTTTAGTTTTTTTTTTTAGGTATCTCTGATCTTTAATTTAAATTACATTTACAAATTAATTAATTATATTTAAAATTAATTAAATTATATAATTAATATTAATTATATATTATAATATTTAAAATTATATTTTAAATTAATTAATTATATTTAATAATGACATTACTTAATAATGATAAAAATAATAATTATAAATAATTATATATCAATATTGCCTAAATTACATGACCATTACTTTCCATGATGAATATAACATTAAAAAAACAATTTCTTGGTACATCAAAGATCCCTAGATATCACGCCATTAGAATTTTATTAGTAAGGAATAGTGAAAATAAAAAGTTTATCAAACATCAATGATTACATGTTAGAAAAAAATACAAAGAATTTATGACGTAATTTATTGCAATTAAAGAAAATAAAAAAGAAATGAGTAATGTAATTATAATTCTATTCTACGTAGATACCAGACTTGCATTCATAATAAAGAACTCCATTTTGAAATGGTATTGCAATTTGAACAGATAATCTATTCCTGTATGGTGTTTTAGACAAGAAAACGTTTCATGTTTTTGTTATTTTGAATATAACATTTTAAAATCCATGTTAATACAATATTTATTATTATGTGTTGATAAAATTGTGTGAATAATAAGTGTAACACCCAGTATATGTTCAAAGCAGTTACACTTATCTATAGCTCTACTTTGATCTTGAATAACATTACGTTTTTATATAATATTTTATTATACTAAACAAAACACATACACACACAGACAAATTTCAAGGATTATGTGAGTTTTATTGTTAGATTAAAAATTGTAATAAACGATTAGAATAATAATACTTATCATATGATTTAACAACAATAAACAAAAAATAGAATTTTCTAACGAGTGTTCTTCGATGCGCGCAGGTTTTTTCTTTTCACAATTAACACTTGTGTGTGTGTGTTAAATACGCGACCGGATGATGATAATTATCTTAAGTGTTGTAGTTTGTAATACTATTTACATCCGACACATTTAGGAAAGACGATAAAAATATTAATTGTTTGTATCTTCATTTCTCAATTTTTTTAATGAAATTTTCTATGAAATTTTTATGAAATTTTTCTTTACCAACTTGGAAATTAACATTAAATCTTAACACAAAAAATTTATTATTGTGTTTACATTTAAAAATGTTAATTATACATATTTTAATGTGTTTTATTTTTTGTTTTCTTCTAATTTAACTTTTTATTAAAATTATAAAAATATATATATGTGTCAACAAAACACCAATCAGTTATTATTTCGTATATTTGTTATAAATGTTTAATGTAATATTAATAATGTGTTCATAGAATATATGTACATATATGTTGGTCAAATTTTATATATAAATAAACGAAGAAACCCTGTATATTTATGCACACATGGTAAGTGTCTTGAATAGATAAAGAAATAACGTTTCACTATTGTAGACGAGTTGGTTTTGCTATCCATGTGTGTTATTGTATGAGTGGATATTTAAACGTGTTAAACGAACGTTACGTAGGATATGGAAAAATCTTATTCATGACACATATGTGTATTTAAATGCACATATTGCATTCGTATATATATATATGTATATACATGTGTAAGTACGACCTTCGATAACGTAATCGATTCATTCGACTAAATTCTATAATAATACTTTAACAAATCTTTATTTCACGGAAAATACTTCAATTTAATGAATACAATGTCTTGTTGTGCGTATTGAAAATTTTTATCATTTATTTTTAACATTATTTATACATGTATTTTAATACTTTTCAATTTTTTTTATTGATTTTATTTTTTATACGATTTTTATTCAACATTGTCAACAAATTTAATTCAATTTCTTTTTTGTACGTGGTCTCGTTTTTCATCATATGAATTTTCAATTTTATTTCTAACCGACTTGTTTTTATCTAACACTGTATAAAAATTGTTTTTGTGTTTTTCAATTCTGATGTGATTTTAGTAGAAAGTAAATAATGTTATATTTTTTTGTTGGTTGTTGACGGTGTCTTTTATTAGACAGTTTTGATTTAACACGATCAGAATTATTAATTTATCCCTAATTTGTACATAATTTGTTTTGTTTATTTAACAAAATTAAAATAAATTAATTTTTTTGAAATCTGAACTTTAATATCAATTTTTAGATAAGATTTTATTTATTTATATTTGTTTTTTTTTTTATAGGTTTTACAGATATGCTTTAATAATCAATTGTTTCATGTATATACGGCCTTCCTTTACAGTTTTCGATTTTCTAAAAATTTAATTTGATTTAAATTAAAATAAGAATATATTACAAGTTTCACAAATTTATTATTCATAGAACAAATTAATTTGTTAAAATAGAATTATCAACTTTTTAAAAATTTCAATTAGATTTAAATTGGAAATAAAAAAAAAATATTTAAAGTATTTCCTTGAATAAGTTTTACGGATTTTTTGAAATACATGATTTTGTAATACAAATAATCAAATTTGTTTTTTTTTTCATCTACATAATGTCCTATTTTTTCTTTTTTTTTTTTTTGTATTTTCTGGAACGAATTTAGCATATAAAAGAAGAAAAGATTGGTTGCTGTGCGCTCATTTTATAAACGAAAATTTATTCGAACGCGAACCATCTACTCTGTAAAGACATTAAGAACGTTTCTCCGCATAATGAGTCCGGCCACTTAAGTCATTCAGAAGGATAAAGATCGTCATAAAATCTCGTACTACTCGGACGTTACGCGAGATGTCCAAATTGGGACAAGGACGTAGTCGGTGCGTCGTCTAGCTGCACGCGCTACATTATAATTCAATGGTTAAAGTCAATTACGGTGCATACGGTTGAGAAATAAGTGGGGGGCGAGAAGAGTGGGAGGTAGGAAGGAGTGGGGGCGAGAAAGTGGTGGTGGGAGTAAAAAGAAGGAATAAATTCCATTGCGTTAAAATTTTTCATTCAATTGATCAAAACATTTCAATTGGCCCATCAATTTTGATAACACACCCAAATTCAATTTCATTACATTCTATAAAATAAATCTATTGTTTTTTTTTTAAATATTATTTTATAATTTTATCAAATAAGGGCAATATAGGTGTAATTATATTTTTTACAACACAGTACTAATATTTTTATTTTTTTTTATAATAAAATTAATTATATATATAAATTGTATAAAATAATAATAGTTGAGTGTAATAATATTTTATTACCAGTGATTTGTAAATATATTTACAAATATATTATTTTAATTACTATAAAATTACTATAAAATATTATTTTTAATTATTATACTATTAAATTTAATTTTTATAGACATACTACAATATAATATACAACCAACTTTATTTACAACCAAAAAGAAAATAATAAGCCTATTTCCAAGCCCCATACAATATTTTTTAATTATAAAAATAATCTGATTTTTTATACAAAAAAGCAAAGAAATCTAAATAAGAATGGCAAATAAAAGAAAAGAAAGGTAAAGTAAAGAAAAGGAAAGAATGTTGGAATCTCAGACTTTGATTCCTTCCGGTTCGTTTCCCACGCTTTAGACTTCAACTTAATCGTGTTTAACCTTGAGAACTTGCCTTCTATGTTCCCTTAATTAATTATGCGAATCAGCAGGCCGTGCTAATTATTCCTCCTGCCGGCGTTAATTCCGGACTCAGAATCGGAAGTTGCTGACCCGGTCCTCTTGGTACGATAATCTCATGCCAATTAACGCTTAGAAGATATTTTCTTCTTAAAGATTACAAAGGCAAACGAACTGGGTGTACTCATTAACAAGCTACTAATCAGGAGTCACATTTTTCTCAAGTCATTTTTTAAATAAAAACCATTGACCGTATCTTATCTATCCAATAAATTAATTTCATCCACTTTTCTTTTGTTTTTGTTATAGATTTTTTCAAAATGGAGGACCATCCAACGAGTTGTCTTCATTTTTTAAGGTAAATAAATTTTTGTGACATCAAATTTCTGTTTATTTTACAATGAATTTGTTATAAGATAAGATCAATCTAATGTTACGAAACATAACCTATTTTTACCAATTTTTTTTATAAAAATATGATAAGTATAAGGAAAAATTTGTTTAAGGGATTTTATTGTATACACTTTAAACAAAATTTACAAATTTTTTTATTGCAAGGTATCACAAAATGGCAGCGGTACAATTCAACGAAACTAACCTCGCCTTGAATACAGTGTTTTTGCAAAATTTCGACTATTGGTTCACTTGAAATTTATACTGATACTATATAAATACATTATTTAGGGAAGAACGTAAAGAATTAGAATAAATATCAAGTATATATATTTTTCTATGAAAAATTTAGCAGAAAATTATTTATAAACAAAAAACTTTTCAAACATGACGTGAAATCCAAAAATATGAGGTTAAGTTTGCTAAACTATAGCGCTGCCATTTTATGATTATTTGCAAAGAAAAAATTTGTTAATATTACTAAAAGTATGTATAATAAAATACCCTTAAAAAAATGTTACTTTACACTTACCATCATTCCAAAAAAAAAAATTCAAAAATAAGCAGTTTTTTGAATGGTTTTTTACTCTTTGAAAAAATAAACAAAATGAAACGTGGTGTATGTGAAGTTTGACTTTACAGAATCCGAACACGAGAATGAATTCGTGATAGACCCATCGTTGTCCCTCGAAATTCGAGATGGAAAGAGATTCTGTTCAATCTCTGGTACATATGTACTCATGAAGTCACATTAGTGGCAAGCTATTTGATAGTTTGCCAAGAAAAAGACTACATGAATTAAAGTTATAGCTTGATGGGTGGAATTTTAACGCATAGTGTTATTAAATCCTCTCTTTCTACGAATATTATAATATATATATATCTGTATATTATCTTGAAATTATTTCTATTATTATTAAAAAAAATATCTAAAAAACTGTGTTCCTTTTAATGTAACCAATAATTAAAAAAAAAAATGAAATAAATGAATATTCCAAATTGAAAAATATAAAAATACATGACATTGAAAATTTAAAAATTTATAAATTTATAAATTAAGAAATATACGATAGAGCATTGCAGGAGTCAAAATAAATCAAATTTTCATCAGAATGTTTTACTTTTACAAGAATAATAATAATAATAAAAAAAAAAACAATCTCTAATCTTTGACTACAATTTAATGTATCTTTTGTTTCAGAATACTTACCTAAGGATGACACGATGAGAGGTGAGTCTTTTTTTTATTTCGTAAGCTTTTGACGACACGAAAAGAAGCTTTTAATGTGGCGAGAAACGACAGTGTAAGTCTTCGTGGGTTACAACTGGAACGGATTTAAATTGCATTTTGTATATATCGATGAAAAACACATCAAGAAATAACGTCTATTGTATTTCATCGATAATATTTACTATAGAATTATTTGAATCGAATAAAATAGTTATGACGAACCTTTTATTGGTAACGAATGAATCTCTTTTTTATTTTTTTTCATATTTCCGAGTTATGGTTCAATATTTGAACAAATGTGATATATCATTTAAAAAAAAAAAAGTAAAAATTCAATTTTTAATATCGAATTTATTTTCTCGATTAAAAATATTACGTATAATACAATAAATGAAATAAAATAAAATAATTTTTACATAATTGTAATTAATATATGTTTTCTTTTTTATTAATTTATAGCATTACGTATAATAAATTAAATTATTATTGAAATAATACATTTAATTTGGTGTAGAAAAATAAAAAAATTACAATATAATTATATTTAAAAAGAAAGTAAGTAAAAAATAATTGATAAATTAAATAAATTTTAATTAAAAAATTTAAATCTATATCACGAATTAAGGTTTCGTCATAACTAAAAAAAAAAAAAAAAAAACAAATAAACCGTAATTAAAAATAAATAGACAAAAAATTATATAAATAAATAAACGTACAAAACGAGAATATGAGAATTAAAATATGCAAAATACTTGCAAAAAAAAAGCTTCTACCTTCGTAATCGTCTATGCTTGTTTTAATTGAATTTCACTGTGAAGAAGATTCCCTTTTTCCTTCAAGATAATAAAATTACTTAGAATCAAGATATTCACGTACGCGTAACGAGCTGTAGCACGCATTGCAAATCGTTGCACGCAATGCATCCTCTCGTAATTCGCATGGAAACAGGTAAAGAAAAAAAAAAAGAAAAGAAACACAAATGAAAGAAGAAAAAGAAAAAAATTAAATATAAAATAAGATAAGAAAAAAAGAATATTATCCTAACGCGCAGTGATTTTCAAACATTTTTTTTTACAATTCGTTAAACCCTTATATCTAAAAATATTTGGTATATTTAAAAATTATATGGAAATATTTATGGAAAAAATAAAATAAAAAATATATAACATATTTTATGCAATATATTTTTTATATAAAAATAATATAAAAAAATATTTCTTTGAAATTTTTTTTAAACACGACTATAAAAAACGTAATATAATTAAATAACAATTCGCAGAACCTTTTAAAAAGGTTATTTGGTTAAATAAAATTATTTATTTTTTTTATATTCTTTTGTTTATTTTTTTTTATTTATTTATATCACTTTAAACAAAAATATCAATGTAACAAATAAATATATGTCTAGTGTATATAAAAATAGAAATATTATTTATGTATTGATGCGTACACGTTGCATGTTTGTGACAACTGTAATTATTTGTCGTCGAGAGCTCATTATCACAGAAACGATACAGAACGAAAAAAAAAAGAGAGAAAAAAAAATATCTAAACACTCGTTCAATAAAATTGTCTCTATCACAGTTCTGGAATGTGTCAAGCTAATCAATAATAAATATGGATAATCTCGAATTATTATTTGTGTATGGAGTTTAAGGTTTACCAACCAGTGACCAGTATTTTCGATGCTTATTCAAATCAAATTTATGTATATGTTATAATCGTATATAAACACATAAAAAAGTGCGTAGGTCATATCTAATATTTAAAAGTAGGCTGTGTTCGTAGAATATCTCATGATATCTTATTTTTGGTTTATCCGCATACGATATTTATTCGTTTCAATGATTTAACTGTTTATAGTCTACCAAAGTTATTGCAGAAATGAACATATTAAATTTTTAATAGGATAATCATATGTGTTGGTAATTTTTATAGTAAAGTGACAATAAGTGTTACCAATGAAAATATGAATTTTATTATTTTTATTTTATAATAGACATAATTTTAATATATATATATATATATATTTACATATTAATATAATTTAAAATATAAAATATATATAAATATAAATATTTTATATTTAAATATATTTAACTATTAAATTAAATTATATTATTTAAATATTAATATATAAAAATAAATAATATATGAATAAGTAATAAATAATAAATAACATATGAAAAAGTTTTTATATAGATACACACTTTATTCCCATGTCAACCCTCGCGGGTTTTTAACATAGCCTCCTTGCTACATACTACTTTATTTTTCCTATTCTTTTTCTCCTCGCTATCCTCTCAAAGACCTTGCCACCTCACACATCTCCTCTACTAAAACACTTTTTTCCCAAGCCTTCTTCTCTCTTTCTTCCTCTCCTTC